CCTAGTACCACTAGACAGGTTTTTAGTCTCTCTGCTGGTTTTATAGCAGCTTTGGCTTTTCTTTTTGTTGACAATGAGTAAAATGGCGATAATGGTAACCTCTGTTAGGAGAAACTCCTGTATGTACGCAGAAGAGAAGTTGCAAGTGAAAGGTCCTTGATGCTACTACATGCTTTTACAAGATCTGGTGTCAAATGGTTTAAGCGTTTATACTTCTCTGTAACACTGCTAGAACAAAGAAGAAAAAGGCAAATGGAAGACAAGTAACAGATTCAAAACTCTTAGTGAACACATAGACTGTGTAAAGATAGGTATCAGCTTTGTATCTCCCTAAATACCATACCAAATATTTCTGTGGTATGTTATGTGAATATTCAGCATGTGCTTCCTTGAACGTTCTCAATTAATTTTATGACTCCATTACAGATTAATATTTGATATAGTGAGCAGATGCAGTTCAGAGACTTATGCTAATAAATGTTCATTCATTTGGATAAGAAACTGTTGGAGATTTTGTTCATGCAAATCTTAAGACCAGTTCAGCTGATTTGACTGCAGAATATTAAGCAAATGTGAAAAATCTCATTCTGTTTTGGCACATTATTATTGCTCAAGTACTGTATTGGACCGTGGGCTCCTTTGTCAAGCAAAGGTCTCAGTCCAGATTACTTTTTCAAATTATTCCAGGAATATCACAGTTCTGGACAAGAATAAACTACCCATGGAATATACTTCAAATAATAAATTCCCATTATTTCATATCCTGGCAACAGCAGAAATGCTGTAATGAATCAATGCCACTTTTGTGTGGGCATTTGATATTTCGGACTTTTTTTTTAATTGGTTTAGTTGCGGTAGTGAAGTAGTGTACTGGGAGCCCTTTTTACATTGGTTGGTTGTTACATTGGACCCTTTGCTTTCTTTTTTTTCTACCTTTCCATTTCAAAACACAGCAGGAAAGCTGCGCAGAGCTCTGACATCCAGCGAGTTACCCAGTGTCAGCTGCGCTCTTTGATGGAAGGAGCGCGCTCTTGTCCAGGGCGCAGGCTGTGCGGGTGCCGAGAGCAGGTAGACATTAACTTCCCATGTCCTGCTCGTGTCCAAACTTGCAGTTTATTATCTAGATTAGTGAAACTATGAGTGAGTCCATCTTTGCCTCCAATTAATCCCATTCTAACTTACGAAGGAAATATTAACTTAGTAGTTACTGATGCCTTTTTTCTTAGTAGTATCTTCACAACTTTTTTTTTTTTAATATAGCAATTAAGTGCTGATCTTTCATAGAACTAGTTTCTGTTGTGAAACCATGTTTCGTATCTTTGGAAAAAAAAAAACCAACTTTTGGCTGGAGCATGTGTGGTATTTAAAAAAAAAAATAAAAATACCCGCCCCTGCACTGAATTGTGCAGAGAGTTAGTCTTAACGCTGCTGCAGGTATTTCTGAACAGACCACAGCTCTGAGTGCCGTGAACCTTGGGTGGAAATGACCTTACTGATCACGTTTGTTATAGTGCTTCATTCCTACCCATGCAAGCCTTTTTTTACCAAATACGCGAAGTCCTGTGTGTTTTGGGAAGCCAGGGAATGCATAGGTAAACACGGGATACCCTAGCACGAGGGCCGGAGCAGCCTGTGTTCGGTGCTCTCAGATCGCTGACTGACGTAAGAAAAATGGCACCGTCCTCTGCGGAAGAAGCACGTTTCAGCTGCAGAGTGTTCCCTTAAGATGGCAGATGATGTAGCGCCTCCTTGGAGGACCCTCTCTGAGGTTGTTTTATCAAATTCCTGACTTGGGTCTCATAGCTGTTCCACTTCCCACCCCCTGCTTCGACCCACATGCTGACAAAATAATACTACTAATACAAGACATTTATTTTCAAATCTTTTTTCAACAATCTCTTAATTTGTTTCCGCTGCTAGCTCAGTAGGGTCTGTTTGTTCTTGAACTTCAAGCTGATGCACTGTACTGCATGGCAGATGTGCAGGTGTCACATCTCAGTTCTTGCGTTTGTCACGGCTGTTACACTGCAGCTTTGCTGTTGCGCTAATGAGTTGCTGCAGCTTTTGTTCCATCTTTTCCCACCTGGTTGACTAGACTGGGTGGTTTCATCACAGAAGGCATGGCAGTCTGATGTCTTTATTCTTGCTTTACAGGCACGAGCTTTCTATATTTTTTTCATAATCTTACCCATCATATTATTCCCAGAGAACGCAATTTCAAGTATTCTAGTCCCGTGCCCTTTGTATTACAGATTGGTCAGGCTCTTACAGGGTAACTTCTGTATCGAAACTGTAGCATTTTTGAGCCCTCACTTGCTTTTTCTAATGTGGCTTTCTAAAGTTTCCTATGTTAGACCTAACATAACTTCTTAAATGGCTTTGCTTGAAAGGCTCTGGTACAATGGCAATACTCTATAGAACCTTCTTTCTTACTCAGAACCCCCGCAGAACACTCACCATTTCAGTAAAACTTCTATGCCTAAAAAACAAGTTCTTACTCTTGCTTTTGTATGAACATCTGAGGTCTAAGATGTCTTCTGAAATTAAGTACTTGAAAGAACTCACAAAATTTCTCATCTCCCACAGAAGAGAAGTTGTGGGATGGCCATCGGAGCCTGGTTAAGGCAGTACTTGTAAAATATTTGAAATGTCTGTCTGCAGTAGCATGAGGATATTGATCTTGAGATTCTTCCCGCTTTGGTGTTCCTCTGGCTTGCCTGCTTGGAGTTGCAGAATTAATTCAGAGCAAGGATTGAAATCCTTGAAAGGAGTTCCCAGGATTCACTTACTTAGAGCCACCTGCACTGCGCTTCTGCGCTGTAAAGCCGGGAGTATTCATGGCCTGGGCCGTGAAACCAGCGCTGAGTGACTCCTTGTTCCCACCCCTGGAACTTGAATCCCAGAGCGTCTGGTCGTTCACGGGGAACAAGGCACCACACTGAATTTCAGTCTGTGCTGCCTGTTTCTAGAGGAGTTGTAGGAAAATGATTCTTCATTTTGTCTCCCAACCATTGGTTGTGTTACAGTGTGTAAATCTGGTATTAGAGTAGCGCTTATTTTTCTTCGTCTGTATGGCATGGTTATGAGCCTGTTGAGGAAGACTTCCATATTATGTCATTTTCTTTCTATGTGCTTATAAAGCATACTTTTGCATATGAACAGCTTGGATCACTGATTTATTAAAGACTGAAACTAATACCTTTGGATGTATTTTTCCAGGGCACTTTAAAGTTGCTTAGTGGATGTAATCTTCTGGCAAGAAAGACCTTCCAGTTGCTGCTGGATTTAATAGACTTCTGAAGAATGCTTTGGTAACGAACTGTAGAGTTCTGATTCATCTTCATCACTTTTGAACAAAATTTTCTTGGTAAAAAATTTTCTGAAGTGCTTCAGTAGCTTGTTTGCTCTAAAATTCTGCCTTTTTTCACCATTTATTCCTTAACTAACAACTAGGAAACTTTTTGTACTCTTCTCGTTAAATATGCAATAACTTTGCACATCTTGAACGTCAAACGGCTTTGAAGAGGAACCCACTTCAGTCTGCCTCAACAGTGTTTGAATTGGATATCCAGTAGCTACACAAGTAAAAATAAGGAAGTGTTCCAGTTCCTGCAGGTGTGATCTAGGGAGGGCTCTAAATTAAGCACCGCGTACTTCATTCTGTAGAAATGTAATGTGAAGTGGGTGCACATGCATGCACACACACAGCCTGCTATAAATCCTACAGCTGTATCCAGACTCATCTGTCCGAACCAGTACATTAGATGGTTTTCAAAAGGAAGGGCTGTGGTTTATTAGAAACGTGATGTCTTGAATCCAGCCAGTCCAGCCCTCCTTCCACCTCTTTGGTCTGTGATCAGGCTTTCCATCCACTAGTGATGACTTTTCAGTTCTTGGATCCAAGCAAGAAAGAGCTCCTGTAGACTCTGAAGATGTGACCTAATTCTACGTTGTGTGCTACTTGCTGTCTGAGCTTGTCTAGTTTGATGGATCTGAGTCACAGGATCTTAATTTTGAGGTAAGAACCTAAGCTGGCAGCTGTTCAGAGCCATTGCTAGAGGTGCATTTACCGTGCCTGCGTAGTGAGGAGCTGCACAGCGGTGCTCCGTGGTGTGCTTCCAGCTTAGCTGCCATGGCACTCCTCAGCCTGCTGGCACTCGTAGCTAAATAATGACCTTGCAAGAAGAGAAAACGGTATTTTGATATTAAGCTTTTCCTAAAAAATCAGATATATAGTTACTTTTATGTGAATGATTAAAAAGGGGCTGCTATACGTAAATCTGAAATGGAATCTGTCCGTTGACATCTATCTGTAAGGTTCAGTTGCCTTAATCGGGAAGAGTAGCCTCTGTCTAGGGGTGCCACGCAGTGGCGGGGTTTTGTCTGAGATAAAGTCAGTCTCATTTGATTTGAATGGCGATGTAGTTAAACGAGTGGGTAAAAAGCTTTCCTCAGTGCAAGCTTAGGTTGTCTTGGGAAGTCTTTACTGAACTCTTGCTCAGTGTTTCGTTCTCTTTTAAAATTACCCCAAAAAATTTACTTGGTTAGATAATCTATTTTTCTATTCAAAGCTTGTAATACTCAATAGCATGTAAGAGACTGAGTGTTTCCCTGTATCAGGTTAGGTATCAAACTTGTTGATACTGGAATAGGTTGGTTTGTTGCTACCCTAATAAAATGCTGATCGCTTTTTTTGGTGTATGATTTTTAAAGTTTCACAGTTCATAATGACTCAAAATGCAAGGTAGATTAAATCAAATGCTGGGATCAGACTCATCGTGTGTCATAAACACACACTTTCTTACTGAAAGCTCTCTTGTGTGCTGCTCGACTGATAACGCTAGTGGCTTAGATTCTTCTGTGGGAAAGGAGGTGCAGGTGTCTAAAGTGAGCAAGTGGTGGTAAAAATAAATTGTACTCATTTTAGCTTCAGGCTAAGAACTTTATAAAATTGATGTCAGGTTCTCTTGCTGGATTAATGTAAACTGCTTTGTTTGCAGGGTTTATTGTCATCCCAAACCCAGGCCAATTCTCCAAGTGGAACTGTAGTATAGCCACCACACTACTGCTAGCAAATCTCTGAACGCAGGACAAGAAGTAATGACAGTGGAACCAGGAGCTGTTCTTCAGGCACAGAGCATCACAAATTATAATGTGGCAGAGTGTAAACATGGAATTATGTGAATCACATAGTAATCTGCAAAGGAATAATGTACTGAGTTCTTACTACAGCGAGTACTGCTAGGCTGCTCACCCAAGGAAGGGTTTTCATTTAAAAAGAAAAAACCAAAAAAACTTCCTTTGGTGCTGCGGGGAAAAATAGTAATGTTTTTGGTTTTCTTTATACTTTGAGTCCAGTGTAATTTAATCTCTATCTA